TTTGTATATTTTTGGTTAGAATGATAGCTTTTTTTCTTCTGATTCCAAATATACCATATATGTTGATATTTGGTTCAGTTGTTTATGCGCTATTTAATTTTAAAATTGCATTGAGCAAGCCTCATCATGCATGAGAAACCTGGACAGATTAAATTAGGGGTAATGTAAATGCACTTTTAAACTTGAATAACGTGAAAACAGCTGAACCAAATATCAACATATATGGTAGAGGTATATTTGAAATGAGAAGAAAAAAAAACTATCATTCTAGCCAAAAATATACAGGGTGTTCCATTTGTAAAATGCAAGTGTTTGTCATTGTGACAGTTGGCACCTGTCATTTGCCCGTTTTGACATTCGCAAAAGATAATAGACATAAAACCCTATAACTTTCATATTTAAAGTTTTTTTTTCCACCTCGTATAGCTAAAGCTGTAGGTAGGGGTAGAAATCCAAGGAAACACCCTGTACCTTATCTACACCTACCTATCGATTATTTTATTTATGTTTTTAGGAATTACTGTTTATTCACTGTTTTGTTTGTTAAAACTTTATTTATCTAATAACAAACATTAATAAATTTGTATTTTTTTTAACTTCCTTGTATTAATATTTACTGCATCATTCATTGTTGAAACTAAATTACCAATAATTGATCAAAGATTAATAATGCCATTTAATTCAAAAAAATCCGATTTAAATCAAAAAAATCTGATTTAAATAAAAAAAATCTGATTTTTTTGATTTTTTTTAAAAAATCATGATTTTTTCCAACCCTGCTTTAATCTTTATTAAATCTGTACCAATTAGCCTGATCTAGAGATTCTGAGTCAGTCCCTTGCCAAAGAATGGTGGTGTCGTCGGCAAAGAGTGTAAATTTGCCACTAATATCCAGGGTAGGTAAGTCATTGACATACAAAAGAAACAAAATCGGGCCAAGAACTGACCCCTGAGGCACTCCACACACCAAATTACCGAGATCAGACCTCTGCCCAGCAAAAGAAACCATCTGAGTCCTTTCCGCTAAATAGGACTCAAACCAACCCAGACACACACCCCTGACACCATACAACTCAAGTTTCTGCAGCAGTATCCTGTGTCAGACACAATCAAATGCTTTGGTCAGGTCACAGAAAACTGCCCCAGCGAACGCCCGGTCATTCAAACCAACATACAAGCGCTCCAGGAATGCAAAAATGGCATCATTTGTGCACTTCTCGCTCCGAAAACCAAATTATACAGGGTGTCCCAAAAAGATACCGACAAACTTTAAGGGGTAGTAGGGGACATCAAAACAAGCATTTTTGTTTATATAAACATATGTCCGCAAATGAGCCATTTGGGCTGTAGAGCAAAAAAACTGTTTGGTATCTAGTTTTATTCCTTGCATTAATTAAATCACTGTTTACTTATTAATTTTGCTTTAATAGCAAATAAATTATGATTTACAATAAGTGTTCAACTCGCGAACTCTTTGGAATATTCCGAGAATAGCTTCTGCATGGGTACAACTCGCCAGTATTCTTGCTATCAGATCTTCCTCATTACGAACAGGTGTTTCGTAGACTAAACTTTTCAGTCAATGACCCGACGGTGTAATCTTTGCATTGAAGTAAATGGTCAACATTTTGAACAATTATTGTAAACCATAATTTATTTGATAATAAAGCAAAATTAATAAGTAAAAAGTGATTTAATTATTGCGAAGAATAAATATATCAAACAGATTTTTTTGCTCTACAGCCCAAATGGCTCATTTGCGGACATATGTTTACATAAACAAAAATGCTTGTTTTGATGTCCCCTACTACCCCTTAAAGTTTGTCGGTATCTTTTTGGGACACCCTGTATACAGGGTGTTCCATTTAAAATAGCGATTGTGCTACTGGTTTAGAGTAGAAGCAGCAACACCGCATGGTCAAAAATATTCTTAAAGTATAGATCATGGTCTTTGATCCCGGTTGCCAAATTTTCAAAATGATCCGCTAGTTAGTTCTCCTTAAACGTCTAATACGCCATCCACCATGGGACACCCTATATTTGACACTTTTGTTGGTCCATTTTATAGATGCACAGACACACGTTGACACTTCTCCCCACTTTTGTTCTGCAGTGGGTTGCTGTAATTCAATTGATTGGTATTCAATTAATTGGTATCCAATTAATTGGTATTCAATTTAATTTTCTAAATGGAACAGAAGAAGCCTTGATAGCTGTGAGGATGTCATCAGCATTAAATAAACAATTTTGTCAGCCTGACAGCTGGATGATGAGTCAATAGATAAAAAAAACTCACAGTACTTCGCAAAGATTCAATTAGGGGGACATTGAAAATGAAGAAGTAAAATGCTTTTGTTTATGTCATTTTGATTGTGATAAAAATAAATTTTGATTAATGATGTGATGTGTGACATCGTATGGCAAATGTAGCTTGCATTTTTCTTGCGACTTGGGCTCCCATACTAGGATAATAGCAGCATTTTTAATGTTAAAAATCAAGCCTATATTTCAATGCAAGGAAGACTACATCTTCATCCTGAGAAACTGCTCTGTGAAACCCAGCAAGATTTGTGAAGTTAGCAACACAAAAAAAAACAGGAAAATTTGCTTGCCTCCTTTGGTTTGAACAATACACCCTTACTTATGTTTGAAATTTGAAATATAAAAGTTTCAAATAATTAATTAATAAAGATTTTGACAGCACAAGTTTTCACCAAGATAAACAAACTGGGAGATTAGACCAAACCAAAGCTGAGGTTGAACTGAACAAAAAGAGTTTGAGAGTGCAAAAAAAACTGGTCTTGATACTCTTAATGATTTCCTGAATCCTGAATGGTTCCTAATGATGTTTTGTGTTGGTACAACCCTATATGTATTACCTGAAGGTAATGACTTTGTCCAGGATTTTGTTGCAATCCAAGGTAGAAAAGCAAAATTATCCTAAACTTAACTGTCAGACAGGATCATACTTGGGATTTACCTGCTGAGCGAAAGTCAAGTCATGAAGTTGGCATGCATAATTTAAATTGACATATCTGATAAACTGCCAAAGGCATAAGTAAAAATTGAAGTATCTGTGATTGAAGTGCTTCATAGTTTTTGTTCAGTACCACATATCCTCTGTAAAAAAAAATTTGAAATGCATTTGGTTAGAATTGGATGTGAAGGAAAATGTTTCAGTCCAAATGTTCTTGACAAGATTATGAAAGAAAAAGAAAAGAACATTGAACAAAATGTGAACTCACAACCACAAAACCACTTAAAAAATCACAGGGTTTGTCCTGTCCTCCAGGGCACATTATGTGTAAGTTGAAACTCAAATGAGTATATACCCTCGAAATTATATTACCTACTTGAGTACCTGTGTATCTTCTGTTTGTTTCTTATCTACCTACCTACTTAGTCAGTAAATCAATCATAAGACGACATAATTGAATTTGATAACATAACATGTGATAAGTGATGATAATCATCAGAGGTAGGTCATGCAGTCAGGTGGGTTTTTCACTCAAATTCAAGCTTGAATAAAATAGTAGTTGAATGAAAATGTAAAGCCTTAATTATGTTTCTATAAAGCAAATTAATAATGACTTTATTATTCAGTAAACAGGGGCAATTCAGGGCACATTTGCAAAGTAACACTACCTTCAGCCTACTGTGATATATTTTTGCAACAGAACTTGGCAGTGACCTGATTTCCCTACAGAAATTATTGGGCGTTTTCATGGTCACATGTTTATCAAATTTAAGAACACTCTTCTTACGTATATATTTATTTAAATAATAGGTAAACGAGTATAACAAATGCAAAATAATGCATACAAATATTCCAACGTGAAACTTAAATAAGCTCATCTCAAATCTATAGGATTGTTTTTTTCTTTGAATAGCAATATCATGAGCAATATCTACATTGTTGAGTAATGTAACATTCTGATGTTAATGACTAAGAATCCTGATGTTATCAAGTTATTACACCCAAATAACCTTGAAATTGATTTCAAAAAAATTATCCGAACATTTTTTAGGTTATATAATCCAAAATAAATAATCCATTATCAGGCACTGATGGATTAATCCACCAAGAGAGAAATAATTCATGTGACGATTACCGAACCTTGAAATCACATGACCAGTTGATAGTCATGTGGTTTGCAAGGGGAACCCGAGGTGGAACCCGCTTTCGTGATTTTTTTATGGTTTTGCGATTCTTAATTTGGCACAAAAATTACATTCATGCAAAACTTAATAGGAATGATTTGTTATTGTATTGTTGAATCAATGAATAAATTTTATTGTTTTTTTTATGAGGAGTGGTGCCTAGGTTAAGGAGTCAAGAGGCATAATTGAAAATACACTCTAGTGCAAGAAAATAAGTACATTATACTTCAGTTTTAAGTAGATGGGTACTTGATGACTAGACAATAGTAGTTGAATTTCTACTCAGATTTTTATCGGTATTTTTCAATGATGGCACTCCAATAATAATTATAATTAATAGCTCTCTAGGAAATTAAATATTTAATTGCTGATAATAATACGATACTGGTTTATTAGTTATGGTTCTTTGATGTGGCGATGTGGGGTTTTTCCAAGTAATAAAGGGTGGGTCTATAAAAACATGTGACCATCCAAGTAGGTCAAAATTTATGAAATTTTTCTGAGCAAAACACCACGCTTTACAAACGGCCTAAATAATTGAATGGAAGCAGAAAATGAACTCAAAAGCATCGATTTTTAAAACGACAAAGGCTGGATGAGTGTGTAATCTTGGCATATGACCCGCACTACGCCCATGAATAGATTCAGCAAAAACTCTAATTCCCAGGCAAAATTTAATAATAAAATCGTACAAATGCACGAGGAATGCTCTCAATGAGCGCCGTAACCAATTAAAAGCCTTTAATTGACTTGGATTAATCATTAAACAGGGAAAAAAGGTGAATTTATTGTATAAATCGATAACGAAGTGGCAAGGCTAAAGCAAAGTTGTAACTTACCGCTGAAAATAATAGCCGAGGCTGCCCCCATAACTCCAAAGAAGGGTCCGTAGACGGGGTTTTGTTCTCCTAATTCAGACATGGTATTTTATTTTATTTAAAGGAGTATTTACAGGTCAAAACGATCTGAAAATGTGCACAACACAGCACGGAACCAGCGAACCCACTGACAAATATGGCTTACGCGACAGCCACTAGCAAGAATGGGTCATATGACGATAAGAAATTTTTGCTGGTGGAGGGCGACCGAATCGCGCGCCTCTATTGGTCGATTTCGATTTGAAGGCCTATTTCCAACCAATCACGTGTGGCGCTGCGTGATAACCGATGATGTCACGATTTTACCTCAAAATGATTATTATTAATCCTTGTTAATAAATTTCCATTTCACTTGAAAAACTAATTGGAAAATTTTCAAACTGCATTTGCCACCTAACTATCAACCTATAATTGAGATTTGCCCTGTAAAAAAGCTATTTCTTCAAATTAGAATCATATGACTGACACACTGACAGCCAATTCGCTTCCGTTGGCTGACAAATAAACAGGAGGGAGATTTGAATTTGAAGATATGCATTGGAATGTTCATTTTTCAATGTTAACTATGAATAATTTTGATTGGTTATTTTACAAAATAACTTTAAATGTTATACCTATACATAGTTTCTATTATTTGTAAAATGAAGTAGAGTGGACCTACTTGTTTTTGAAGAAGGTGCTTTCTAATTTTATTGATTTTATTTAAAGATAATGATATATAAATATAGATATATTTATTTAGAAGTAAAGTACCAAAGTTTACTATTAAAATGTTTGTGTTGTAGTAAATCTGAGTCTGCAAGTAATTTGTCGCACCTTTCTACAAGGTTTCTGGATCTCTGATCCTTATTATCTTATGCCTTATGCTCACTGATCTTCCGTCAAAGTCTAATCCTCGGTCTAATCAAAATCAATATAATTGCAAGGATTTTTCCAAGTTCCTAAGTAGGTAAAAGTTATGTAATTTCATTTACTAGGTTAGGGGAAAGGTAAACCTATATGGGGCGCGTTCAGATTGAAGAGTCTGGGCGACGTCCAGTGCAGAGCGTACCCGTTAGAGAGTGCACTCCGAGTGTGCCTGGCGATTCGCCCAATCTGAACGGCCAAAACGCATTCTCTCCTCATAACATCACTATTTATGGGATGCTTTGATTTTGATTTTGTTGCCTTTTCAAAATGCACTGTGTTCGTGATTCTAACATTTTTGTAAAATAAGAAAAAAGAAAATTCAAAGATAATCAACTCTTATTTTATTTTATTTTGATTTTTTTGGTAGAACTTATCACATATAAAATAATACCTCTTAACCCCTAATTCTTATTTTAATTTATTTCCTATTTTATTTTATTTGTTGGATAAACTCGCCATAACTCCCAACAATAATATTTACAATATTTGCCTTTATTATTGGTTAGAACAGAACATAAACATAACACAAACGCGCATGCGGGGCAAATTTTATCTTACCATTTTATGGGATGCAAAAGTGTGCGTCGGGGTGTCGTCAGGTAAAAATCTACTGACAATCTGAACGGCTGGGTAAATTTTACCCAAAGCAATCTGAACGGTCAGAGCGCGCTCGGGCGACAACCGACGTTCAATCTGAACGCAGCCCTGCTGTTCAGAAATTAGGCATGACCATCAGAGAGTCTTGAAAATTTGGAAAGACCGACATTCGTATAATTAATGACAACGTGGCCTGTCAAAGTGGCACCAACAATTGATCGTTTTCACATGAAATCCGCAGATATTAAATTTTGAAATCCTGAACCGCGCCGATTCTGGACTACCTCTGGACTACCTCCAATCCAATAAGACCATAACATACCTATATAAAGGGAATGTAGACGTGTCTATACTGTCTGGTTATAATGTGATGCCCCATTCTGTAGCCTGCTGTGCTTGACTTGAAGTATCTTCACAGGTAATATCTGGCCAACGATTCTGAAGCTTCGGGGCATCGGTTCGGTGAGGGGAATACTATGCCCGTGCATAATCGCACAATTCGCACATCAATGACATCACGCATATTCTTATGAGGTTTACTGGTCGCCGTCGCCGTTATAAAACACCGAAAAGTTGAAAAATTTGAACTATAAGTGGTGTTTTATTGCCATTTGAAAAGACTTTTAAATCAATATTATTAAATATTATTATTATAAAAATAAATAAAAATCTCAATATCTCTTTTCCTTAACTTTCTCTTCAATTTCAATTAAAAATCTCAACGCCAAACCAAAGTACTAGTGATGACGTAGGCAGCGTGTCGTTTCTCGCCATGACGTAACGTAAGGGGTTTGAGCCACAGGTTATGATTGCGCTGATTTTTGCTTTATGCATATATTATGTTAATCAACAATTGATAATATTTTTCATCATAAATGTATATTCTTAAGTACGACCGCTGGCGCAAACCGCTAACGACACCACTGATGACGTCGGCAACGGTGCAACACCATATCAACTTGATTCCAAAAAACGAGGCCGATGATCCTGTAGTAGTTTTAAAATGTTATTAGAGGTCGAATTTATAGTCGTTCCTGACTCTTCCCTGAAGGTTGTGAGTCTAGAATGGACACTTGCTACCATTTGACAAGTTACATTCATGTCAATTCTTACCGTTCAAGGCTTCCTTAAGGTCTTAGGAAACCTCAAGGACGGACTATAAATTCGGCCCTAAAATAACTAACACAATAATAATTAATAAAGTTTTCGAAAAATGTGAAAGTGGCCTATTTGATGGCTTGAATGAAATCAAACCTGCCAGATTTCTTCTTGCGTGTAAATACAGACTTGTCTAGCGATAAGTTGGAACGTGCGGTCTGTAGCCTATTGTCTGGCTAGCCAAACGGCGAACTGCAATAGAATTTGCTGCTTTGCGAAACTTTTAATAAACAAGCTGGTGACTGGTGACGTATATTTTTTGCTAAAATCTGTTTTTTTTTTAAAGATAAAAGTCAAAATGACATTCTGTTGGCAATTCAATGTAAAATTGTCAATGCTTTCAAATTTTTTATGTAGAAAAGGCTTGTGTTGCCAACATAGTTACTAAATTTCTGACTTGGGGAATTATCTTTAAAAAAAAAACATACTTTATATGGGCATGTGTAGTACAAAAGACATGGCTGTCATCAAGCGGTGTCAGTTGAGGTGTCAGTGAATATTTTTAGGTGACGCCCCATTTTTTGTCCCCCTTTCGTCTCTAACAACTTACCCACTTGCCAGACTATAGTACTCATAACTGCGAAATTCGCACTTTTTTGACATTGCTTCGACAAATTGACGTTTGATTCACGGATAAAACGTCAAATTGTCGACGCAATGTCAAAAAAGTGCGAATTTCGCAGTTATGAGTAGTAGGCTTGTGGCAGGTCTTTCAACTTAAGGAAGGGCGCGCCCCATACACTTCGATGAAACACGACGGTTTTCATCGCCGCGATGAAACACGTCGTTCCAAAACCGAAGTGTGTGGTAGAAAACCGTCGTGTTTTTCTACCACACACTTCCGTTTTGGAACGACGTGTTTCATCGCGGCGATGAAAACCATCGTATTTCATCGTAGTGTATGGGGCCCTTTACGGTCCCTACGTCTCGTGTCGAGAGAAGAGACTTCCTCCACGGATTTCATTAATTTATATAGAGAAAAACTATACAGTGAGTTCATAAAGTCCCGCATAAATTCATTATTTTGAAAATGGTAGAATTTTTGAAAAATCGCTCAGACACGTCAATTTTGTTTTTTTGTTTGAAATTTTTTGATATATTTTTTATCATACAGGGTGTCTCAAAAATAGCTCCGCTGGAATCAACTTTATTTTTTTAAATGGTACCCCCTGTACATTATGACATTTCTGGATTTTACAGAAAATTCTAGACATATTTCAGGTACAATGTCATATACCTATCTTCAACTATTTCGGAAATATTGACACTTGAAAATTGACTTTTTTGCATCTTTGACAGACTTTTAAACCTGAACGGTTGATTTTACAGCAAAACCGATTTTACATTCCTATCTTAGTTTTTCATAAACTATCATTTGACAACAACTTTGAAGTTAATCCATGATTAAAAATTCTGGTTAAATTTAATCTTCGCTTTTATTCAAAATTGGTGTCAAATAATAGTTTATGCGAATCTAAGATAGGGATGTAAAATCGGTTTTCCTCTAAAATTTACCGTTTAGGTTTTACAGCCTGTCAAAGTTGGAAAAAAGTGAATTTTGAACTGTCAATATTTCTGAAACAGTTGAAGATAGGTATATGATATTGTACATGAAATATGTCTAGAATTTTCCGTAGAATCCAGAAATGTCATAATATACAGGGGGTACCATTTGAAAGAATAAAGTTGATACCAGCAAAGCTAGTTTTGAGACACCCTGTATGATAAAAAATATATCAAAATATTTCAAACAAAATTGACGTGCCTGAGCGATTTTCCAAAAATTCTACCGTTTTTAAAATAATGAATTTATGCTGGACTTTATGAACTCACTGTATAAAAAAAAATATATACCTATAACGTCTTTTTTTGACGATTCCCCTAAAACTCAATAATAACTTGGTGAAAAATGTTTAGATAGAGTGCATAGCGATTTGTCCTGCTGGAAGCGCATCTGAGAGTACTTTTATGTAAATGAACGCGTCCTGCGAGCAGGACTTGACTCGGCCTATTAATTTGTCCTGTAGAGAGAACGCTGCACGTCCTGCTGGCAGTACGCGCTGATTCCAGAAGTACCTACTTATAATTGAAAAGTGTTGCAGATCTATTATGGCACATCTAGACCATATAATACCGCCAATTATACTTAAACTTTGTTAAAATTAAAATATACTTTATTTTTCCCACCAATTAAGTATACCTACGTGTAATTATCTTTTTCTAAATTTTGGTTATTGAAATTCCCAAGCCTATTTTATATTTTAACAGATTTTGTAAAATGACTGCAGCAATCTAAATTAAAAAATCAAAGACATATTTTTGGAAAAATCAGTTCTTTATTATGTAGGGGAGAGTGGGTAACAGTGGATCACGGGGCACAATGAATCATCTACCATAGCTTTACATACTTTTGGCGTATGCGCGGGAAACTACTGTCGTTTGTTCCTTTTAATTATTTCCCTTCAGCCCATCTAGTCGCTGTCACG